GTGCCCTTCTGCCACCGCCGCGTGCCCCGGAGGCCGCCCCAAAGGCCGCTCCGGGAGAGCAGCCCTGAGCCCGTAGAGTTAGGACAAAGAGGGTGTTGGGCGGGCGGCCTTTGTCGAGGACCGTTCCCGCTTTCCCGTCGGTGCATTCATTGTGCTCGAATTTTGTAATGCTCTCTCTACTATAATTCTTGAAATTCTACGAATAATTTGTAGTTTTTACTATTTGGTTTGTCACTGCGAAGCCAATGTTAAAATGTGTATTTTTCCTTCAAAATCGTGCCTTGTTACTTTTGTATCAATTTTATTGATAATTGTCTTGTAAAGTGAGAGCATGTACTTGTACATTGTAACTTGTAGCTGCATCACGTTTCCTCTGTGTGTTGTGTGTGTCTGTGTATGTCCCTGACCACGTGTTGCCCTTGCTCCCCAGCGCCCCTAAGCGGGTAGGAGGCACCGCGGTGGCGTCGCAGCTGTACCGCACGTCTTCCTTCTCCTCGGGCCGTTCCTCCGCCGCCGATCAGGAAGATATGTACTCTGACGCTTCCCTTGAGGACGACGTGCTCGACCTCAACCACAAGGTCAGACTCCCCTGCCTGCCCATGCAAACGGTGCTTTCCCAGAGTGCCTGGTGGAGGTGGTGGCGGCGCATGCTTTCTGCTTTCTAGAGGGGTTCCTCTTCCCTAGAACACTTTCATGGCCTTTTCTCTCTTTTTTGCAGATTCATCTGTGATCGCTTTCTTACTAGTATCGTTCTGTTTTAGTTTCAGAATTTGGGATTTTGCAATGTTGTTCTTTCCTATAACATTCACTGCTTGTAGTCTTGTGCTGTAGCCAATTTTTACACATTTGAATCTACTGCTTGCGGGTGCTACGTTAGAATTGGTAGAGGCGATGAAGCCGCATTATTGTAGCTGTAGTTCGGGCACTAACGCCGGGGGTCTCTCCCACCACGGTAGGAGTGTCAATGTGGCTGAGGAGGACCTCATGAGCCTTCACCCCGACCACGCCAACGATGCAGAGTACCTGCACGCTAAGGTAAGTTGTCTGACTTGGACTTTCGTTTCCGAGATACCAGGCCAAAAGGAACGACAGACTTCATTGAAATAAGTAGGGAACGGACCGAAAGGTAAGGACAAAACACCATCTGATGAACTACTTACGGGGACCTCCCGTTAATGTCAAGGTTTACAACCAGTCCTGTAGAAGAGGCGGAAGTTAATCTAGCCCTGCTTCCGAAAACATTGAATGTAAATACCAGACTTCAAGGGAAGGGACGTTTTATCTGGGGACAGTGCGATTAGGCTCACGGGTTACTGCTTCCTAATTGTCAAGAGAATCTTTTTATTAGTGGTTTTAGAGCCTCGTATAGTAACAGATCGGTAAATATGCGTGAATGATTCTTAGAGAATTATTGATACATGTTAATGTTGAATAGAAATAGATAATGTGAACTTCTTGCAACGGAACAAAGAAAGGAAACCATTTGTGACAGCACGGGCGAGGAAACAAAGTCGGGGGAAGGGCGGCATAATGATGGCAGGGAGCAGGAGGCACCATCTATTTGGTGCTGGCGCAAGGCTGGAGGCTATCATCTCTAGAGAAGTGCTGTTGCTGCTGTCAAGTCAGAGTGCCATTATTGGAGACGTAATGAAACTAGGTGAACTGCCGTTTTAGATAATTATGGGATGTTCGGATATATATATTAATGGGTTTTTGACATGTGTGACCACAGTGATAACGAAGTGACGGAGAGAATTTGCGGGACGCAAGAAAGGGTGTTGGCACAGCGATCGCCTTAATGAATGGTGCATTGTTTTTAGTGTGTGATTGTTTGGAGGCCGATGTGGCGCTGAATATCATTGTCAAACAGTTGAGGTGTTAGGGGGGGTCTAGGAAGTAGGGAGGAGGAAGGAATGTACCTGAACTCTGCAGACAATGTAACAGTGCACGGTGGAGGCTGCTGGGCTTAACAGGTTGAAATACTATCATCATGCTGGGATTCAGATTCTTGCACTGCAGCTGCAGACTATGACCGGCAGGATTCTTAGATCAATCTAGCGATACACTAGACGAAAAAGGAACAACAGAGGAAGTGACGAAACTACAGTATATCCGCTACGAGGGAGTCCAGTTTAAGCCACGTTTTTTGTTGCCGCTGCCGGACGGAGGACGACGAGACCGAATGACTTCGCGGAGCTACGAGGGAATCGACGCATTTTGATGTTACACAATATCGAAGCCCGTCAGGTCCATCCCTTGCTCTGTGTTTTTCTCTTTCTCATTTACACCTCTGCATTCCACTTTGGGTCTCCATGCTGACGCTGTTTAAACCGTATTTATTTTTTTTTCTCTCGACTCGTAAGCATTCCCATTGCCATTAAAATATGTATCACAAGCCGAACAAGCTGTGGCAGTTCACGCCTCTGGCAGGGGGCGGGGCGCGCCTATTGTGATGAGGGCGGCGCTGGTATTTGCTCTACACGTTCATCCAAAGGGCTATTAGGTGGGGCTCGGGGAAGGAGTAAGGGAATGTGTGGATGCGTTTATACAATGCTCATATGTACACACACGCATGTAAACGCACGTGTGTGGGCATGTATACATATATATATAATCATATATATCTACATACAATCACACACGCACACGCACACACACACACACGTACACACAACCACACACACACACACACAACGTACACACACACAACACGTACACACACACACGTACACAACACACACACACACCGCACGCGCATACGTACATACGTACATAAGTACATACATAAATAAATACGTACATATATGCATACTGTATGCAATGCTTATGCGTATACACTTACACATAACACACATATACATACACATGCTTGCTTACATAAGTACGTATGTACATACATACATGCACGCATGCACGCACACGCATGCACGCGCGCACACGCACGCACGCACGCGCGCACAACGCACGCACGCGCGCACGCACGAACAGCAACGCACGCCGCGCACACACACACACACACACACACACACACACACACACACACACACACACACACACACACACACACACACACACACATGCACACGTACAATAAACGCATACATTCATACATGCACTTAGACGGAATGTAAAATAATGTAAGAAAGTATTGGTCGTTACGATCTTGTAATCGTTATCTGTTCGATAACTTAATCTTATCCCGCCAGTGCCTTGGCAGCCCCCCCCCCCTCGCTCCCACGAGCGGCCGGGCCGCGTGGGGCGCAGTGCGAGCCGTGGCGAGGGTTAGTCTCTCACCGCAACAGGATGTTGAGTAAAGGCCTCGTGATAACATCAGTGTTCTTCTACCTCTGCTGTCAGTTTCGTATGAGTGGAATACGACGCCGTAGAATTGCTGCGAGTGTCGTGTGTTTGTTCAAATGCGCTTTTAGACAAGGGAAGAAAAGATTTTTTGTGTTGGCCAAAAATGTTTGAAAAACGCAGAATATAGCAGAAGTAAGAAGAATACATTGGCGACGGCGGCTGAAGTGAAAATGCAACGCAGCCCTGGATGTCTTACTTTTTCTTTTCCTTGTTTTATATGGCGTGCGCCGTTTCGCATGCTGGGTGGGAACCGCTTGGTCATTTTCATGTAATATTCAACAAGGATGTTTAAACGGCGGCACATATGAATTTGAACAATAACTAGTGATGTTATAGCAATTACTTCAATTCGACATCCGCATTAGCCAGGCTGTGTAAATGCGGGAGTGAGTGTAAACGCTGTTTTAAGAGCACATGTAAGTCTGCCGAATACGTCAGCGAGCAGCTCCTTGGGGCGACCCTCCCTGCCGTCACTCCTTACTCCGCACTCAACATGAGGGTTTGTTTTGCTTCACAGTTTATTGGAAGGATTACCGTGTGGCGATTCGTTGTTGCAGTGATGCGATTCCTTCCCTCGGAGAAGGCGGTGGTTATGGGGTCAGAGCGTTTTATCACGTGGGCGATAAGATTGCTATCCCGTGGACGTAAGGGCAGTGGAAGTGCCGAAGTGCATAGGGAAAAGGCCGTTCGGAGGTCGAGGGAGTGACGGAATGGCCGCAGAAACGGACCATTAGCAGCCAGATTACCAGATTACAAATACCGCGGGAACACCATGCAAAACAAATGAAAAAAAGTGGACAAGGAGGGCGAGTGAGGTTTGGAGTGGAAGGATTGCGTTGGTGGAGGGGGGGGGGGGCTGTCAAAGATTAGAGTTCGGGTTCGGGGCGGACTAGGGATATGGGCCTATATGGGTGTCAGCATTTAGGCCTAGGCATGTGGTCCCACTCAGTAGGAATACATAAACAAGAAGGAATGGTGCTTTGTGCTCATCCCGCGCAGCGCAGCCTGGAGGAGGATGAGCGCCCTAATCTGCGCAATAAGAGGTTAATGTGAGCACTTACTTCTGTCCCTCTCATTCTCTTCCTCTTTTCCCTTTTTTCACTTCTCTTGTTTACTCTTTCCTTTTCCCTTCTCTTCTCATTTCGTGTTTGTGTTTACTTCAAGCTCCCTTGCCTGGGTCGGGATGCCATGATTCCTGGGGTATGAAGGTGAGGTCAAGGGTATCAGGAACCGGAAGTGCCGGAGGTGGTGAGGGGGAGGAGGGAACTTTCCTTGCTCACGCCCTGGGTGTGTGTGGGGGGAAGGGGGAGTCTCCGGCATCATCTTTAGGTTCCTGAAATACGCAGTTAATAACGGAAATGGAGTCGCATAGCAGTCGGGCATTGGAGGCTCAGATATGCAGCATTACTCTGGGCTGTTCGTGACAGGCACTCGAAGCGAAGAAACGGCGGTAGAGTCCTAGAGTCGCGCGGTTACGTCATGCAGCAACTTGGTCTCGATAGATGGCGGCGGAGGAGGGAGGATTGGGAGGGACGCGGGCTAATTTAGATCGGCGTCAATGGTCGCAGCGTTAAGGAATAAAGAAAGTTGAACAAGTAAATAAAAAGTGCCATTAAGAAGCAGAAGGCGTGCTAGGCGTTGCTCCGAGATGATATAAATAATTTAACTGGGCAGGCGGGGAGGGGAAAGGAGGGGAGTCTCGGTGCCTGGGAAGTTGGCACTCCCACAGTCAGTGCCCAGCCAACGCCCCTCAGGGCCACTCTCTCGCAGTCCGTTCCCTTTGCTATGAGGAATATCGCGGTGGTCCCGGTGGCTGCAGAACATTTATTTCCCTATTTCTAGCGCCGGTGGTCGTTCAGGCGACAGTGAAGACCTGAAGTGTTGCAAATCCACGTAAAGGTGGAGGAATCTCTTCCGTGCTGTATGTTCACTTTAGTTACATGTTTGGCCAAGGCAGTGTAGTGAAATCAGACAAAAGGAAGAAATATTTTGTATTTATGTGAAAACTGTTATTCCAGACATAAAAACTGAATCCGTGTTTTTTTTTCGCACGTGTACAATTTTCGAAGGCTAAAAGGTCGTAGATGATCTCAGACGCTCATGCTGGCATCTGGCCGCTTGAGCTATCTTGCGTTGGCGACCGCCGAGCACTGTGCTCCTCCCTTGCTTCTAGCACGTCACCTGAACGTACCCGCTCGCTGACGTGTGAGTAAACAGCGCCGGTTGACGAGGCAAGGGAGGGCGTAACTTTCGTGTTTTGAGAAGGGAGGTGTGATGGCCGACCTCATCCGAGGGTGCTCGCCACCGCATCCCGCTTAGCATTTAACGAGATGAAATAAGATAGTCTTAAGAGCACCGATAAGACGGCAACGGCAATGCTGGTACTTGCGGCCCTTCGTAAGGGTAGGGGTAGGGGGTGGGGAAGTGCGAGGGCATTATAGACTTAGGGCCTTTCGGGATCACAGATGCTCTCTCTCTCCTCCTCTCTTCTCTCTCTCTCTCTCTCTCTCTCTCTCTCTCTTCTCTCTCTTCTCTCTCTCTCTCTCTCTCTCTCTCTCTCCTCTCTCCGT